TTTTGAAGCTTGTTGTCAATACAACAAAATAGCATACATATCAAATCGCATGTATATCAACATATGTGTAACTCCATCTATTCAAAAAAATCTGCATTATTAACCGTTGCACCTAGTAGGCCCGTTCCACCTGAAAACACTCAGGTAGGACCCTATGGCAGGCGGGATTCTTGGACCTTCATGTCCGGAGGCTGGGCTCTGGCTGGCTCTGTGCGTGACGGTGTCCAGCGATGGCCTGGCTTGCGTCGAAGGCCTGCACATGCCCGGGCCTTTAGCCCAGACAGGGAGAGGGCTGTGGCTCCCAGTGTGACTTCCTGGTGCTGACGGCCGGTGGGCCAACGGGCAGCTGCGGGGACCTGACCCCACGGTCCGGCAGGGTGGCCTCCTGAGCCTCGCAGGGCACACACGTTGGCCCTGGGTGTGTCTGTGCCCTCAGACTCGGCCTCCCGGGCCCACGTGTGGTCTTGGTGCAGCTTCCAGGTGGTGTTGGGGCTCCCGATTATGGCTCCTTGGGCCTCAGGAATCCATTTGCAGCCACACCTGATTGGCCCAGCCGATGGGACTCAGCACCCCCTGGTGTTCCCAGGACCCGGTGTCCTTGGCACTGCTGGGTCGTCAGAAAGCACGGGGCGATACCAGGTGACAAGGTTCCCACCCTGAGGGCAGGCCCTGCACCCCTGTCCCCAGAGCAGAAAGGACTTCAGGACCAGCCTCCTGACAGAGCCAGCCCTGCCCACGGGTGCCCTGCCTGCAGTGCCAGGGGCAGGGAGGCCGGGGCCTTGGGGCCTCGCGACAGGGAGTGTCCTCATGCGTGAGGGTCGGGGTGCACCCACCCTCATCCACAGGCTCACACTCGGCTCCAGGCCACCAGCCCTGGCAGCAGACCCCGTGGAGGCAGAGAGCAAACGGCGAGGGGAGGGGCAGCCGGAGGCAGGCAGGGTGGTCAGCAGCAGGGGACACATTCAGCGGCCACGTCCGGTGGAAAAAGGAACGCTGAGCAAACCAGCCGTGCCTTCGAGCCCCAGGCTCCCCGCCACCAGGGGTCGCTGGCTTTTCTTTGTTCAGAGACACTACCTGAGCACGTGGGGGAGGCCCTCTGTGTCTCAGAGAGAGACCACGGGCTGTGGGGCCCGCGTGGGGGTCAGGACGGGTCTGTTGGGGGGCTCAGGGTCCCCACATCCAGGGAGGCCTGTGCACCGCCCGCGTCCATCCCACCCCCTCAGCTGGCTCACTGGCCTCGGGACTCACGGGGGCTCCGGCAGGTCATTCGGGAGCAGGAGTCCTGGTGGCCATTCTGCCGCTTCGGGCCTCCCCGGCTCCCAGGCACCCCGTTCTGTTGTCCGTTCCTTCCTTCCTTGCTTCCTTCGCTCCT